ACCAGTGGCATGAAACAAAGACCAGTGGCATGAAACAAAGACCAGTGACATGAAACAAAGACCAGTGGCATGAAACAAAGACCAGTGGCATGAAACTGCTAAATGCTCTTTCTGATGGAGCGCTCGTGGCTGCAATGCAAAGATAACAGCTGTTTTTGCTCCCGCCTCTTTAACAAGCTCCTCCCCTGCGCTCTCAGCGGGCTGTATCCTGCTTGCTCGACGCTTTGATGCCACCTGATGACGTCATCAACGAGCATTACTGCCGTTAACCAGTACAAGACAGATGTCTATCTAAATGTCTATAGTTTCTACATGTACTGTATATTGTGCATTCCTACTTTAAATATCTGTTAAAGTCATGCCAAAACCAATGCAGACATGTTCCTGACATGTTATAAGCTAGCTGGTTTTGGTTTAATTTTCTAATGTCATTTTCTTTCACTTGTTCCTCTCAATGCTTCCTTTTGTGGTTGTTGTCCACTGTTGTCACCACTCTTTGTTAAAACCAGGTCTCTCTTGTAACAGAGTCCCTGCGGCTCAATGGGATTAACCGGTAGAAATAAAGGTGGAATGAAACTGTTGCTGCAGTTCTGTGTTTTCAGGATGAAGAGCGAGCCGTGAGAAACTAGACGTTCGTGGGAAATCTGAACTCTGTGAATAAGATGCAGATGTTACAATGTCTGAACACAGTCCACCCAGCAGCACCTCTTCAGAACCTGTTTTAAACAAACTACTGCTAAACCTGATTATAGGAAATGAGATGAAAAATGGAACGTTATTGATAAATCACCAACTCATTTGCCTGTCACAATATCTGCAAACACAAACTGTGTGTAGTCCACCACAGAGGACCAACAATAACTACTGACTTCACAGGCTTTGATTTAGCAGAATAAAAACATTTCATTTGTCCAACAGTGACTTTCACTGACCTTTATTTACACAGGTCAACTCATTTTCAACAGAGACCTGTTAGGGGTTAAGGGCCTTGCTCATGGGCCCAGGGTGGGGTGAAGAATGAGGGTGGGGGCAGGTGTGGGTGGCTTCACCTACCCCACCCACATTTTTGATGTTGTCGGTACCGGGGCTTGAACCGGCGATCTTGCGATCACAGGTCCACCTTCTCTGACCTCTGCACCACCACTCCCCTTATTGACCGACTTATTGGGAAAATGGACATGACGAGACAAAATAAACATTGTGCCCTACAACAACAGTGTTTGAATTTGGACACATCATGTAAGAGAAGAAGCCAGAATTATTGGCAGAAGAGGATGCAGTCTCACCTGGAGCTCAGGTCCATGGACGATGCTCCAGACAGATTGGTGGAGGTGGACAGCTTTAAGGCAGAGGCCGGCATGTTGCCGAGGGTCCGGGGGATGTGGCGCCCAGCGAGACTGGCAGCTGACTGCACGCTCAGACAGATGTTGTTCCCAATGAGGACCTGAGTGGTGGTGGGGGTGGCGCCTGCAGCGCTGCATCCCAGGAGCCCCAGAGCTGCTGCTGCTTGGGCGCCGGGAGCGGCGGCAGGTGTCGAGATGTTTGAGTTGGAAGAGGGCTGGAGGAAAGTCTGGGCCGTGACGGTGGTAGTGTGGGTCGACTGGTTGGTCTGGTGAAGCGTCGCTGCGGCGCTGGTGAGGTGCAGGTTTTTGAAAACGCCTGCTGAACAGAGCAGCTCATAAATGCAAAGGACAAACACACAACAGGAGGTTTTTATTGCCATTATTCAAATTCATAGCTCAAGTTTGAGTGGCACACCTGCACAATTTAATGCAATCCAATTGACTTGCGCTGCAACACATCCTGACTCTGTGAGGCTGATTTCAATCTTGACACTGTAAATGTTGATGCAACACACTGTAATTGCAGAGCTGCTGGGAGTGACGTTTAAGAACTCTTTCAGACTTTATTTAAGATTCTGTTCACATGTTCAAAGACATACAGCACATAGAAAACATGTCAAGATTAAATATGTGTAAAGTCAAACCACACAGATGCATTTTCGTCCCTTCGGTCCCTTTAACCATTTTAAATCATTCCTGAACTCTTCTCTAGAGGCCCCAGTGTAGTCAGTCAAAAGAACGAGGTCAAACTAATCCAGAAATTATGGAGATTTTTTAATGTACCGTAATCTCTTGCTAGACAATGATCTCCAAGATTTAGGAGGTGTTTAACAAACTGTAAAAATATACAAACAAACAAACAACCTGCCTGGTACTGGGGGCAACAGGAAACTCACCTGCGTTCGTCAGCACCCCGTTGACTCCACCTGCCAGCACCAGCTCCTCTTTGGATTTGAACCCAAGCAGCTTATCTGTTGTGACGAGGGCTGAAGCAGCAAACTGAGCGCTGGCCTGGTCCAACGTCTTGGGCACAAGAATCTAAAGGAGAACCAGAGACACACAGAGGGGAGACGACATGAAACACTTGAGTAGATCGCTGCCAAACTGGAACTGATCCACGTGCATCAATACTGCATGTGGGAATGAGCCGTTTCCCAAGAACACACGAACTGACCTTTAGCTCAAAGTCCTTGTTACCGTAGGACGACTGTGGCTACAGGAGTGATGGGCTCAAGTGTTTCAAGTGTGTTCGTCCAGACTAACCTGTGTGCTTGCAGGTGTTGTGGTGTTGTTGATCTGTTGCTGCTGACTCTGCTCCAGCTGCTGCTTCTTCATGAGAGCCAGCTGCTCCTGATGCTGCTGGTACTGCTCAGCCGTAAACACTGCAGAGGAACAGACAGGACACACCGGTCAAACACAAACTTACCAGGACACATTACAGTGGATTTGTTAGGAATACTAAATGGTAACTGGACTGTAGCACCATCTAGCACCTTCCCATCTTGTCAAGACACAGCTCTTTACACTACAATCTGTGCCCTCATAACAGCACTCTACTAGATCTGTACAGAAAATGATCGGTGCTTTATCACAAACATTCATTCAGCCTTTATTTATACAGGTAACGTCTCCTCGAGCCTCAGGGACTCATTTACAAGAGACAGATTCAGACACCGACGGGACACACATCTGAGGCAACGAGGGGTTCAGGGTCTTGCCCAGGGACACTTCAACATGTGACTGCTGCTGGAATCAAACCCCCATCTCTTGCACTGGAGGACGACTGCTCTAACCACTCAGCCACAGCCGCCCAGTATCAAGACACCAAGTCGCCCACGGCTCAGCCCTTTGAATGCAACATGAGTTTAAAAATAAAGCTTTAGCAAAGCAACAATTTTAATCTGGACACAACAAGATGCAACAAATAAACAAAGTAGTCCCAAACACAGCGCCGTGGAGAACAAGGGTCCGCTCCGTGTGATTTGGACATGTGACATGTAACATGTTGCATTGTTGATGGTCTGTAGAGTTGTGAGTTCATGCTTCATTCATGAATACAGAAACGGTGTTAAAGATAATTAATCACACAAATGGTACTATTAAAAAACACATTCACATATATATATTTTTAAGTTGGTAGTTAAAAATCCTAAGAAATGCAAAGCATGCACATGCGTTTTAAATGTGCTCTATAAATAAATGACTTGAGTAAAGTCAAACTAAATGGAAGAATGAAACACTCGTGTACAAAACAGCTTTACAGATGGGCTGTAGGCTCTTCAGAAAAGAGACTATCTATAAACTTCAGGATTTGTTCTGCACAGTGGCGGGTTCAGTGCCGCTAATAGCAGAACTAACTTCTTGTTTAGCGGATTAGCGTTTTTGCTAACTTTGAAAACAATTAATGGAATTACCTTCTGCTTAATTTAAATCTGACAAATTCAAGTTTGCTAATATTTTTAAAGACCGTTCTCTGCACGGAAAGCATAAAGGATTTAGGTGATTTACAAGGAGCGATGCTGTGCTATGTTTTGTAGAACGAAGCAAAGCTAAGCTCCGCCCAGTGATGTCACCACCCTCGTTGTGCTTTCATATCTACCACAAACAGTCTCTGACTCACGGTGTCGGTTTACAGCAAATAAATGCCAAACCAGAAAACATCGTAAACAGAAACACTGCACACATAATTCCTACTCAGCATGTTTTGCAATACAACCGTCTCTGGGATGTGACTCTCTCACACCCCTTTACTTTAATACAGATTGTTTTTACCAAGAGAATATTGATGATGATACTGGTAACCACAAAGAGGATCAACAAAGTGAGTTTATTCATTTTAGTAAATGACATGAGGGAGATGTCTGACACAGATTGTATCCACCGATTCAGCACAGCAGAGTTCTGCTCCGCCTCTTTGGTTCAGATGGACTTGATTAATTTCTTAAAGCTCACCTTTGAACAGGACAGGGACACTTATGACTTATGGGCCATTTTGAGTTGTGTTCACTTACGTTGTTGTTCCATTACAGACAGTTTGTGTGAGCGATGGCAGTGCATGATAAAAGTTAGTGCTTTAACATTAGACTCCACTTTTTTAAACCGTTTAGCAAAGCTTTTTTTTCTTACACGAGTTGAAGAGGCTTGCAGTCTTTTTGCCTTTATTGTGAACATGTTCAAAATGTGTTGCAATAACTTTTCATTCACACAAAGAGTTGCTGCTAGCATCAAATACTTTCAGTAACACTACACTGCTACAGCTCAATTTTGACACACTAAGGCTACAGCCCTGAACGTCCAGGTTTTACCAAACCCATGAAAAATAGCAGTTAATTAATAAACTTGTCAAAATCTATTCAACTTTGTTTCTAAAGTGTACTAATATTACAAACGCAGCAGCCAAAGTGGATACAAAGTGAGCCATGGCCGGTAAGATGAAGGTGGTGATTAGGGCTGTATACTGAACCGAGGTTCCTTTATGGCACCGACCGACGCAGTTCGGTCAGTGTATGGACTGAAACATGACTCTTCTTTC